AGATGCATTTCAGTACAATTACACGTACGTCATCTATTATTCTAACTCAACGAAACCCACTCACAAACCAACCTCTATTTATGAATACATTTGTTAGTTAATCAATCGTAGCGTCGCGTCACCACATTCACAAGCCACTGAACTGTCCTTTTGCCTTTTTCTGCGTTTTGCCTCTGACTTTAACGCAAGCCTATTCCACTTTGCTCTAGCCTGCGTAATGGTTTTTTCCCTTCTCCCAAACGCAGGCTAAATATTGCCATTATTATTCTTCATTATTCTAGTCATTCATTGTCAGGGACCGCGGAGCGTGAATGTGTTTGTGGGGGGAGGGGAGGGGGAAATCTTAACTCTCGGAAATGTCATTTCCAGCGTTATCCAAAACATATTTACCGCACACAGGGTCAGCGATATTATCAATAAAGTCCCAAAGACTTCATAAGGAGGCTATTCGCTTCTTTCTAACTAGTCCCAACAAATCAATGAGTATATCCAGTCTTTAGGATTTGGGGATTTAGGTAAATACAAAAACATTCGAGCACTCACCACAGCCTGTATCGAAGATAAAATCTTGCACATCAAAACTATCAGAAAAAAATGTTGAATAAAACTGAAATTGCAAAGTTACCTTTGAAGGCTCTTTTTATTTTATTTTGGCAAATACGATTTTAACAATCAATTTCAACCCCGAAGGTCAACAAAAGTTTTGCGTTCGGAGTCACTACTCCAAAAGAGTACCAAACATGCATGTCTACAAATTATAATCAATTTTGTCATCAGGAAATGCATCCATTCACCGATCGATGCCTTCTCAAAACAGCTTTTGACGGGAAAAGTGAGCTTTCCATAGCTAGTTAGTTTCGCTTATGACAGGAGGAGCATTCGCGATGCCCAAAGCGGAACACCGATCACACTATCGGGAACTCCGTGCCATATTCTTGGTCGAATAGTGGTGTGGGTTCTTTAACATCACTCCATGGTTGCTGCGATGTGTAGAGATACACAAGGGCTCAAGATGATCGTTCGGTCTGACCGACATATTGACTGGGTCTGGGTCCCATATAGGCAACGTACTCCAGTTGTTTGTTACCCACTGTATTTATTCAGAAATGTTGTTATAGGATGATGAACTGATCGAACCCTCGAGTATATATGTATTTTTGACGATCAAAATGACAGGCAAATATGACAATTCATGTGAATGAAAGGCAAGGTTTTTAGTGAGGCATATTCAAGTAGAAGGTATTTTCAGGGTACTAGGCCTTTTCATACTATTTATAGTGCAGGCCTACTGCGGGGACCAAAGTCGTTATAACTATCAGCGACTTTCTACCATTTTAGAAAAATTGCGCSAAAAGGCTCAAATKATAAAGTGATTTTGAACGACTTTTGGTTCCCGGCCGGAGTAGTCACCGTAACTTTCAGAGACGTTGTGACTATCTATAATACGATCTTCGCAAATAATAATATACACTGATAAATACTGAAAATTTCAATCGAGTTCTCCTTCATTCATTAAATTGACGTTGCTTCCCCCTCTTTCAAGTTTAGACACCCCCCTTCCTGGAATTCTCAACCCCTCCTACGAAAATTATTGCGCAGTCCTAACCTTCAACGATTGACATTACGTCAAAACCTCAGGTGCTCGGTACATGTGCAGAATCACTCAAATGTGCCAAAGCTTTTTGTGAATGTCAATCAACGTGTATCCATAGCTTTATTCGTATTTATTTCTAACATATTTTTAGTCAGAAAGCAGTGAAAATCACTCATTTCTTTCAACTGAGCATGCGCGCTAGATTCGATGGTGTCTCTTCAATTCATTGACACAATCTAATCAGCTAATAAACGCCCGAGAAATCACAAAAGTGAAATAATMTATATGTTTGGGGAGTGTCATAATTTCTTCTATCCTATTTAAAAGAGGGCTACATTTTTTCTTCGCTTTCCTARGGAGGACCCCCCAATAACTCCCTTAACMCAGATTACAATATTTTATGGTTTTTAGTACAGTTTTATTGATCTTTTCTTACTCGTGTTACCATAGAAATCAAGTATGGCATCTAAACCGGTTGTCATGGTAATTGGTGCAACTGGTACGATTGGCTTCGCGACCATTAGTTCCTTAGTGTCCGAGCACAGTAGTGCTTTCGATATACAGGCAGGCGTTCGTGATCCAAAGAAAGCTGAAGACAAGTTTAAAGATCTAAAAGGTTAGATACTGGACTTGTTTTTACAGTCAATAGTCGACACTTCCCTCCGCCATATTGAAAGGTAACCACGCCTTTGCATCAAAACACAGTGGCCACTATTCACAGCTTGCGATGTCTACCAATGTTGACGGCCGTTGATTTGTTGATTTCTGCAAGTAGAATAGATTTCTGAACCTTTGACGTCACTACTTGGTTTTCAATGCAAAGTACGATCAGTTTCTAGAGAAAGCAAAAGAAATCCGCAAACATATCCTACAATGCATTGCGTGTACAGTAAAAGAAAAAACTATTCTTTTTCATTCGCTCGATAAATTTGATTTCGTGTATATTTCAAATCAAGGAGCTGTCAAAATTGTCCAGGCCACAATGGGTGACAAAGATTTGCCGAAGGTCTTTCAAGGTGTCAGTCGGTTATTCATCGTAACACCTCCGACTAAAGACCGAGCAGAACTTACCATAGCAACGATAACGTCCGCCAAACTAGCAGGGGTGCAAAGCATTGTGGTCGTCAGTGCTTGTGCA